CCCTCCCGCTCGAAAACCGGGAGGGGCACTACCGGTTCGAACCCCTCCCCCCCCCCCCCCCCCCTCTGGATCCGGAAAACCGGGGGGGGTCACTACCGGTTCGAACCCCCCCCCCCCCCCAACACACCGCCAGCAAACGACTCCCGGTCCCCACCACCGTCCGCATCACATCCCCCACTGGTGTTCCCAGCACCACTGTCCTCACCACCGCTGTCCCCACTGGTTCCACCACCGCCCCTACTGTCCCCACCAGTGGCCCCACCACTGTCGCACTGTCCCCGCTGTCCCCAGAACTGTTCCCACCACGGTTCCACTCTCCCCACTGTCTCCACGGCCCCAACCACTGCCCGACTATCCCCACTGTCCCCACTGTCCCACTGACTCCTCCGCTGTCCCACTGAGCTGTCCCACTGTTCCCACCACTGTCCCCACTGTCCCCACCACTGTCCCCACTGTACCTCTGTCCCATTGTCCCACCGCCGTCCTCGCCACCGCTTTCACCACTGTCCCCACCACCATTGTACCCTCCACTGTCCCACTGTTTCCACCTCGTTCCCATTGTCCCCACACCACTGTCCCCACCACCACCGTCACCACCACTGTCCACTGTCCCCGTCCCACTGTCCCACTGTCCCCACCACTGTCCCGCTATCCCCTCACCACTGTCCCCACCACTACCGTCCCCACCACTGTCCCACTGTCCCCCCGCTGTCCCCACCACTGTCCCGCTGTCCCCTCACCACTGTCCCCACCAACACCGTCCCCACCACTGTCCGCACCCCCACTCGGTTTTCGAGGGGGGGGGGGGGGGGGGTTCGAACCGGTAGTGACCCCCCCCCCTTTCATGATGAGCAGGGGGGGGGGGGGGAGGGGTTCGAACCGGTAGTGACCCCCCCCGGTTTTCCGGAGGGGGGGGGGGGGGGAGGGGTTCGAACCGGTAGTGACCCCCCCCGGTTTTCCGCCAGCAGCGGTAGAACACGCTCTTTCAAATAATTTCATGCGAGCCAGTTGCACCCGTCGGCCGCGCGCGCATGTCGAAATTCTTGCACACCCCCCACCACCAACGCGTAGACGCCACCATCATCATCATCAGCATCATCATCACCATCATCATCATCACCATCATCATCATCATCATCATCATCATCATCATCACCATCACTGGCGTGAACAGCATCGGCGCCGTCATTGGCCTTGCCATCGCCATCGTCATCGTCGTCACCAACATCGCTAGCGCTGCCGACGTCTCCATGATACCGCGCCCGCCCGAGTCACCGACTCGCGCTGAAGTGCCCAGCGGCCAGGGCCACCGGGGCCGCGCCAGTCGCGCCAGACGAGCTGGCCGCTCTGGGTGCGAGCCTGCGCGCGCTAGCGCGGCTGCAACGATGTGCCAGCCAGCGCCAAGCAGTCATCGCAATCGCCGCCGGTTGCGGGTGGGTGGATGGGATGGTTGCGCGAGCAGTTGAATTGACAACTTCGTACTTGGCAGAGCGATTTGTGCCTCGTAGATTGCTCCACATAGCCTCCACCACACACATACATATATATATATATATATATATATATATATTGCGCCACGTGGATTCTCCTTTCTAATAGAATAATGAATTCTACCCCCCCCCCAGACTTTTCGCTTCCCCCGCGCGTACTGTAAATCACATATGATTCTGACCACATGTCCATCCTAAATATGAATTCATACCATCCCAGCCAAGCCGGTATCCCCCCCCCTGCGGTTCCCTGTCACATAACACTATGCGGGGACATTTTTCTTTCTAAGATATCACTTTTTCACGAATCCCTGTCAAAAAATACCATGCGGGACACATTCGCGCGCGCAAGACGAAATCCTTCCAAAACCTTAGTGTTCGTAGCGATTTCAACATAAAAGCATCAAAAACCCCATGGTTTTTCAACCAAACAAGTTTCGAACATTCACCCCGCGCGCTCTTGCGGATCCCTAGGAAACCCATTACTTTTTCAACATTTCTGTCTAAAGGGCTCTTGCGAGCAACTTTTTCCTGCGCTTCGAACTTCTTCAACAACGGCTGCGCGCCTGCCAGGGACATAATCCTTGTCAAATAATGTCATGCGGGACACATTCGTTTTTTCTTCGCGCGCGCGCCGAAAGCTTCAAAAACCATGGGGTTTCTTGAGCATTTCAGCACTGCGTATCATAAAAACACACGAATCGCACCGTAGGTTCTCGGAAAAAAACCTGTACGGATTTTCAAAATTTTGACCGCTCGCGCTGTCCGAACCTTAAAAAACCAATGTTTTTTTTCAACATTTCGGTCGCACGAGCTCGTGCGAGCTACTTTCGCGCGCTCCTTCAACGACTTTCGCGCGCCTGCCAGGGCCACTGTCCGTGTCAAATAACACCATGCGGGACACATGCGCGCGCGCCGTCGTCGTCGTCGTCGTCGTCGTCGTCGTCGTCGTTGTCGTCGTCGTCGTCGTTGTCGTCGTCGTCGTCGTCGTCGTCGTCGTCGTCGTCGTCGTCGTCGTCGTCGTCGTCGTCGTCGTCGTCGTCGTCGTCGTCCGTTGTCGTTGTCGTCGTCGTCCGTCGTCGTCGTCGTCGTCGCGGCGGCAGGGCGGGGGAAGGGGGGGCCCGAGGCTCGCGACGACGTCGACGACGACGACGACGACGACGACGACGACGACGACGACGACGAGGGCGGGGAAGACGACGACGACGACGACGACGACGACGACGACGAGGACGACGACGACGACGACGACGGCTTCGGCGACGGCGTCGACGACGACGACGACGACGACGACGTCGGCGCCAGGTACTCGCTAGGAAGCTTCGCTGGGTACTTGCAGCCACGGTCTGGTGAGTTTTGCTGACCAAGTTGCGGGTGGGAGGGTGGGATGTTTGCTCGAGCAATGGAGAAGACAACTTCAAGTTCAGCAAATTAATTGCACCACGTAGCTTCCACCACATAGGTTGCACCACGTCGGTTCTTTTTCGAAATAGAGAACAGACCCTACCCCCTGAAAACAAATTAGCGGGCCATCTTTTCGCATTGCAATGTACATGTGACTCTGCCCCATCGTCCATCCTTAATATGAACTCGTACCACCCCAGCCACAGCGGTATCACTCCCCCCCGCCATCCTCTGCAACAAATATTATGCGCGCGCTGTCGCTTATCAGAACTCACCAGTTTCCAAGAACCCATTGCAAAGACTGAGACGAAGTGCACACGCGCGCGTCGTCGCGCGCGCATGCCGAAATCCTTCAAAAACCTTCGATCCCGTAAGGATTTCCAAACCGAGTCTCATACAAAACACATGGTTTCGCAACACTGATTTGCTAAAACAACTTTCGCGCGCGCTCTTGCGAAATCTTGAGAAAACCATGTTATTTCAATAGTTTTAAGAAATGCTACTAAACGGGCTTCGCGCGCGCGCATGTTCGAACGCCCTTGCGCGCGTGCCGTCGCGAGAACCCTCTGCAAAAAAAATGGCCGGAGTGCGCACGCGCGCGTCGTCGCGCGCGCATGCCGAAATCCTTCAAAAACCTTCAGTTTCGGACGGATTTCAAAATCGAGTATCCAACACACATACAAAACACGTGGTTTCGCAACACGGATTTTCAACAAAAGCGTGCGCGCGCGCGCTCTTGCGTCGTCGTCGTCGCCGTCCTCCCTCCTCCCTCGTCGTCGTCGTCGTCGCCGTCGTCGTCCTCTGTCTTTCCTCGTCGTGCTCGTCGTCGTCTTGGCGTCGTCGTCGTTTCCCTCGTCATTGTCGCCGTGGTCGTCCTTCCTCCCTCGTCGTCTTTGTCGGCGTTTCGTCGTTGTCCCTCCTATTTCGTCGTCGTCGTCGTCGTCGTCTTCCCTCCTCCCTCGTCGTTGTCGTTGTCGTCGTTGCCGTCCTCCCTCCTTCTTCGTCGCCGTCGTCGTCGTCGTCTTCCCTCCTCCCTCGTCGTTGTCGTCGTCGGCGTTGCCGTCCTCCCTCCTCCCTCGTCGTCGTCTCCGTTGGCGACGTCGTCGTCGTCGTCGTCGTCGTCGTCTTCGTTGTCGTCGGTGTCGTCGGCGTCGTCGTCGTCGTCGTCGGCGTCGTCGTCGTCGTCGTCGGCGTCGTCGGCGTCGTCATCGTCGTCGTCGTCGGTGTCGTCGTCGTCGTCGTCGTCGTCGTCGTCGTCGTCGTTGTCGGCGTCGTCGAATTCGTTGGAGACGTCCTCGGTGTCGTCGTAGTCGTTGTCGGCGGCGTCGTCGTCGTCGTCGTTGTTGTCGCTGTCGTCGTCGGTGTCGTTGTCAAGTGCCATTTGGTACCCACCGTCACGGTGTTAAGAGGTTTTGCAAACCAAGTTGAGGGTGGGTAAGTGGGATGTTTGCGCGAGCAGTGGAGTGGACAACTCACTGCGAACAGAAATTAATTGCACCAACTAAAGTGCACCACGTATACTGCTCCACATATACTGCAAGGAATCACTGTGTTGGGCCCGCGCTGGCACATGTTTTGCGGCACAGCGTGGGCCTCCGGATGTACAGGCCCCTTCACTGGGGACAACTCTTCATCCTGAGTCGTTTTTGACAGCCCTGGCGCCCAGTGGGAGGCCGAACGTGGCGAAACACCTGCAGTCGTGAGTCTCCCACCGCCCGAAGACCGGCTACACGCCAGAGCGATCCTGGGTAATATAATGACCTTTGGTGCACGGCTTTTTGGGGGCCGCGGGGGGACCAAACACAAGCGCACAAGACGCTACTACCGCATCGCGTTTGGTGATCGGGGGGCCCCAATGGGTCCCAAAGGTCGCGTGTAGTCTTAGGTCGGGTGTGTTCCCCTACAGGCGGATTTTGGTGGATGAAAATAAAGAATAGCCCATTTTTTGTTAATGCCCAAAAGTAGTCAAAACAAAATCGGTCCCATACTAATTTTCTGAATGTGTTTGAATACTCGACCTGTAGAGGGACACGCCCGACTCAAGTGTAGTCGAGAGGAGGTCAAGGATCCGCTCCGACCTGGACCTCGCTTGGATCGGGCCGGGTCCTCGGGGAACGTGCTGGCATCCGTGACCTTCTTGGTCACGGCCCACTTGAGGCCTCGGGTGCTCCCGCCAGAGCGGCGGGGCGTCTCGGCGTCCCGTCGGGGCGGCGCGGCCGCGTGCTCGCAGGTCACAGGGGGTCGAAGAGGGGTCGAGGCTCGAGGGATCGAGGGATGAGGCGGGATTGAGGCGGGATCGAGGATCGAGGAGGGATGGGGCACGGATCGAGGAGGCATCGGGGGCCGCCGGGGGGATCACCTCGTCACGGCGGGTGCCTCGCGCTTCCGCCTGCTTGCGAGCACACTCCGCCCAGGTCACCAAACTTCGCGCTCTGCGCAACGGGAGGTGGTCTGGAGAACGAAAGCTCTGCCCGTCCGGGCCGCTGGGCGCGAGGAGTCCTCGTGCCCCTGCTGGTGACCCTACGGAGACGCCCAAAGGGTGGTCAGGCCCCCCTGAGCCAGGCCCGAGCCGGATCGGATCGGAAACAAATCGGATCGCCAGCGAATCGTCCCGAACCAAAGCGAAATCGGATCCCTCCGCCCGTCTCCTGGCCGATGCCAGTGAATCGAACCCAAATCGGAATCGTGGCGCCAGCTATCGAATCGAATCGTACCGAATCGTAGGAAACCCTGAGAGGTCCTCCATGTGGGCTCCGGAGGCGCAAAAATTTGCCGAAAGAACGTCCAAGAGCAAGCGCTGCAAAAAGTGCCCAGAAGGGGACACCATCCTGCGGACCAGCGGCACGCGGTCGCTGCACGGCTTCCCCTGGGGCCGTAGGCGACCCGAGGAGGAGGAGGAGGAGGAGGAGGAGGAGGAGGAGGAGGAGACGGAGGAGGAGGAGGAGGAAAAGAAGGAGGAGGAGGAGGAGGTGGAGGAGAAGGAAAAGGGAGGAAGAAGAGAAGGAGGAGGAGGAGGAGGAGGAGGAGGAGGAGGGGAGGAGGAGGAGGAGGAGGAGGAGGAGGAGGAGGAGGAGGAGGAGGAGGAAGAGGAGAAGAAGGAGGAGGAGAGAAGGAGGTAAAGGTAAATGTAAAAGGCCCGTGGGGGGTCCAGGTCTTCGAGTGCCCCTGCTGGGGCTCTGCGCCTCGAAAAGGGCCCCTAGGGTAGCATGTGGCTGCAAGCCCTTAAAATATGCTGGCCAGGGAGCTGCCTGGGGCGTCGAGGCCCCCTCTCGGTGGAGGGTGGTCCTCGTGCCCCTCTAGCGGGAGACCCCGCTCTCGAGTGCAATGAAGAACAAACATGCGGGCAGAGGGCGCTGCCCCCCACTTCTCGGGAGCGGGGCGATCCCTGCTGAGGACCTCGACTCTCCCACCAACTTACCACTACTCCCCCCCTCCACTCCCCCTCGCCTCCTCGTCCTGAAGGCGGGTGCTGGCAGGCAGCGGGCTTCGCGCTGCTCTGCGGTATGCTGCTGTCGCTAAGCAAGCTCGGCGTGTAGTCGCTGTGCTACTGATATGGATGGGCGGCGCCGCAGTGGCTGTCGCTAGAAAGGCTAAGTGTGGCTGGGCGATCCGCGTCCGATGGGCGATCACATAACGCTGTTGGCTGGCTGCGAGAGGCGGCGCTGGCTACGGCAAGGCTGGCGGCAGCTAGAACGGGCGTGCTCAGTTCATGCTGCTCAAGCCGAGGCCAGTGCCCCACCCCGCGGCGCGCGCGGCACTCTCGTCGTGCGTCCCGATGTCGCTGCTGGGTTGCTGCACCGTGTGGCTCCTGGTCTGCTGCCGTGGCGGCTGAGCTGCCTCCTGCGACTTGATCGCCGCGCCGTAGGCCGCCCATCCTGACACTGCTGGGCTCGGGTACTTGCACGGCGGGCGCTGGATGCTGATGGTCGCCGCCGCCGAGCTGCCCTCCGCGTCCTGCATGGGCGCTCCCTCCTTCGCGACCTCGTCGCAGCCCCGCCCGTTGGCGCTGTGCGTCCACTTGCTGTAGAAGCCCTCCAGCTCGTCGCGCTGGAGGCGCGCGTAGTCGTACTCCCACGGGCGCGGCCCCTTGCACAGGCGGCCCCCGTCCATCAGGTAGGCGCCTACCTCCCTGCACTTCTCGATCGTTGCGGCCAGCCCCTCGATCTGCATCTTGAGCAACGCCGTGGCGCGCGCTCTCTCCATCTCCTCGTGGCAGTTGAAGCTCTTCGAGGCGCCGATGCGCGCTAGTGTCATGGCGACGCGGTCCCGCTGCGCGTAGAGCTGGTGCTGCACCGTGTCCGTGTGCGGGGCCAGCTGCGGGAGCAGCTCGCCCGTGCTCTGCAAGGTACGGTGGGCGGTCGAGGCGGTTGGCCATCGCCCCGAAGACTGTGTCCGCCGCCCCGCCGCCCCTGTCTGCCGCCTTCTGCGCCGCGACGCCCTCGTCCTGCTGTGGCGCGCTGCCGCTCACTTCGCTGGCCCGCGGCGGGAGAGCGCTTGCTCCATCGCCCTGCCCTGGGCGCGGTGGGCACTGGCGCTTCTGCACGTGAAAAGAAGCTTCTTGAAACTCGCTAAGAAATTGCCGAACAGGGCTACGGAAAGAGGGCGTGGGTCGTTGGTCGTCGGACCTGGCCGTCGCAGGGGCTCTCGCTTCAGCTGCTGCAACCGTTGTGTCCCGCCGAGTGACTTCAGGTGGGGTCAAGCTTCTGGCGCGCGAGCATGATCTCGGTTGGGCATCGGGCTGGCCTTCCCCCTTGTTGTCCCCCGCACCCTCATCTCCCGCAGTGCTAGGCCTTTGAGCGTAGTGCTGCGTCGGAGCTTGCGAGTAATACCGTATTTTCCCTGACAATGATGAGGAGGAGGATGAGAAGGAGAAGGAGGAGGAGGAGGAGGAGGAAGAAGAGGACAAGGAGGAGGAGGAGGAGGAGGAGGAGGACGGGTCGCCTAAGCCCTTCGGAGAGGCCCTCCAGCGGTCGCGGAGCCCAAAGGCCGACCATCGCGACGAGGGCACCGAATCGGCGACGATGGCGATGGCGATGGCAATGACGACGTCGTCGTCGCCGCCGCCGCTGCCGCCGCCGCCGCCGTCGTAGTCGTCATCGTCGTCGTCGTCGTCGTCGCAATCGTCATCGTCATCGTTGTCGTCGTCGTCGTCGTCGTCGTCGTCGTCGTCGTCGTCGTCCTCGTCGTCTTCGTCGTCGTCGTCGCCGTTGCCTCCACTGATCGTCGGTCGTCACAGGTCGCCGTCGGTCGCAGTCGGTGGCCGTCGGTCGCCGCCGTTGGTCGTCGCCGTCGGTCGTCTTCGCCGCCATCGGTTTTCACTGGTCGCCGTCGCGCCGGGCCGTCTCCTGGCGCGGAGGCAGCGACCAGGGGACGTCGCAGCCGCGACGGCCGGCCGTTCAGGGGCGCACGCTGTGCGAGGGCGCGCGTTGGGAGGCGGTGGTGAAACGCAGGCCCACGGATCGAAGAAGGCCGTCGTCGGTCGTCGTCGTCGTCGTCGTCGTCGTCGTCGTCGTCGTCGTCGTCGTCGTCGTCGATCGCCGCCGCTGGTTGTCGTCGTCGTCGTCGGTCGTCGGTCAGAATCGGTCGGCGCCGGTCGTCGTCGGTGGTCGTCGCCCTGGGCCGCGCCCTGGAGGTGAGGCCGCGAGCTGGGGGTGCCGCGGCAGCCCAAAGCTGAAGTCGGGTCGGTTCCAGGAGCCCTGGGCCCCCCAACACTGTCCATCTACGGCGGAGGCATTTTTTGTTTTTATCTCTGTGGGCGCGGACAAAAGGTCCACGGTTTCATGCAAACAAATTCAAGCAGGCGGGACGGCCGCCGCCCTCGCGGCTCGCCCGCGTTCGCGGGCCGCCGCAGCGTCCGCGAAGCCGTGGGCTCGGAGGACGCCCTCGAGCCCTGGGCGGATCCGCCGCGGCTCGGCTGCCTCCGCCCGCGGGGCCGCCGCTGCCGAGCGCCGCGGCGCCGTGGCGCTCGGCGGCGCAGCCATCAGGCTACCAGCGTCAGCCGCAGGCGGCGTGGGCGGGGGTGCAGCAGGCTGCCGCAGCGCTGGCTCGGGCGCCGCCACGGTCGCCTGCACCTCCGAGCCCTGCCTGGCCTGGAGTGCCGCCGCCCAGCGCAGGCGCGTGCTTGCCGTTGGCGAGGCCAGCGGCGCGATCGGCTCCTTCGACGCTGGCAGGATCCCACGCGCGAAGTCCGACCGCGCCTGGGCTCTGGATCCCTTCTTGCTTTTGGGCTGCCCCGCCGCCGCGCTGGCCCCGCACGGCTTGCCCAGGCCGCGGTGCGCGTACCTGGGGAGGCGGCAGTGCATCCAGCAGGCCGCGCAGACCAGGAAGGGCTCGGAAACGTCGCCCTCGACGCGCGACTCCATGAGGAGGTGGCCGTTGACCCTCCATCCCGCTGGGCGGGTCGCATCTGCCGCCTCCGCAGGGGCTGGGCCGCTGCTCGTCGCCTCCGCCGCCGCCAGGCGCGGGCTGGGCGCGGGCGCCGAGGCCTCGCGGCGCCTCGGATGCTCCCGCGCCCTGCGCTGGGCTACACGGCGCAGCACCTCCGCGGGCGACTCGGCAGAGGCGGGGCGGCGCCTCGCGGGCGAAGGCCGCGAGCTGGAGGCGCCAGCTGCCGCCACCGCTGCCAGGGCCGCCGCCGTGGCGAGGCGGGGGCCGCCGTCAGCCGCCGAGGGCTGCGCTGCGCCGACGTCATCGCCAGGCTCGGCGTCGGGCTCCTTCAAGAAGACAGTCGCTGAAGCGGCAGCCCCGCGCACCTCCGCGCCATGCATCACCTCGAGCTCGCCGCGCCCCTGGGACTGCGACGTCGGTGGGCTGAATCCACCTGTCCCAGGGGCGGGCTCCGCCGCGGCGGCGTGCAGGGAGTCGGTCTCGCCGTCGAGCTCCGCCGCCATGTAGGGGGTGAGGTCGACGAGCTCCAGCTAGCTGATGGGCCAGGAGTCCCGCAAGCCCGACTCCGTAGCCTGGGCCTCGAACTCGGCGGCGCACCGCGCCGCGTCACGGGCGCGGGCCAAGCAGCCCTGGAGCAGGAGGGCCTCCTCGTCGGCTATGGCGTGCAGCGCCGCGCCCGCCTTCGCGAGCTGGTCCGCGAGGCGGTTGCCGTAGAGCTCCACCTCCGAGAGTACGCCCTGCTCGACTGCCGCCCGAGAACGGTGGGCGGGGA